CTTGGGATTCTCTCTCTCTCCCTCTCTCTGCCCCTCCCCAACTCTCTCAAAAATAAACTTAAAACAAAACACTAATATTTATAGGATGTAACCGTATCCCAAGGGACTGTGCCAAGCAATTTAAATGCAGTATGTTCTTAAAACATAGAATTAAATTTATGTACTAACTTAGAAAATAAATGACATATTTAAAATATTGAGCCGTGGGTCCCTGGGTGGCTCAGTCAGTTGGATGTCTGACTCTTGATTTCGGCTCAGGTCATGATCTCACCAGTCATGAGTTTGAGCTCCACGTCGGGCTCCATGCTGATGGGGTGGAACCTGCTTAGGATTCTCTCTCTCTCCCTCTCTCTCTGCCCCTCCTGTGCTCTCTTTCTCAAAATAAATGAATAAACTTCACAAAAAGATAAAATAAAATATTGAGGCTTTTCACTCAAAAGTGTCTTCATTGAGCGAAGTCTTTTTTAGGTCCTAAGCAAAGGATTCTATTGTTCTTCCAGCGAACATAAAAAATTCTAATTTAGGATTTCCTTACAGCCTCCACACGAAGTAAACACTGTGACTGGCACCATTTATAGATGAAGAAACCGAGATCAGGCAGATTTGCTGAAACCGTGGAACTGGTAAATGGCTGAGCCAAGGTGGATCAGGGTCTGTGTAGTCGTGTCTGGCATCTGGCCTCTTTGACTACAAAGCTATACAACACTGTTCCAGAAGATGCTGAGTCCAAGTATGAGGGTGAAGACCAGACAATGAGAACGATGATGACATGAGAACAGTACTGGCGGCAGCGAGGGTCACAATCGCTAAAGCCGCACATCGCAAGGTATCACCAGACACTGTTCTGAGCCATTTGACCCTCACGACAGCCCTGTGAAGCAGAGGTGCTATATTACTTCATTTTAGCTGAGATTACGAGGCACAGAGAGGTTCAGTACCCGGTCCAGAAACACAGAACTCATAAGCCACAGAGCGGGGACTGAACAGTAAGGGTCTGGCACCAGACCCCGGTCTCCTAAGCACTATACGAAGAAGGAAGCAGCCGTGTGGGGCCAGCAACCTCAGCCCAAGGAGGCTGAAACAGTGACAGGGGGATGTGAGCAGGAGGCCTCAATCCTCAGGAAACACGGGCCAGAGAGAGAGACAGACTTGATGACGCTAGACGGCGCTTCAGGAACCACTAAAAACAAACAATTGGGACTCCCACTCAGTCGTGTGGTCAAATAGGGACGCTTGCACAGACAAAAACGGCATCTATTCTCCTCAACATTTCACAAAAGAAAGAACCTGTGCCACCAAAAACTGCAGGAGAGCTTTTCGCAACAAAGAGGGGTCTTTGAAACTGAACAGGTTAAGCTTTAGAGGGACTCGTTGCAGTGGCCCTATTTTCCTCACTTGCCGAAGATGGCATGTCGGGAGAATTAAACGAATGAAGAGGAACAGTATCCGCATACAAGAAGAGCAGAGACACGGAACGTGGGGCCTCACACCGCAAGGACTGGGCGACCGCTTCCTGCTGCCAAACAGCTGTGGCAGAAAAAAACCACTGTGAAAAGACAGAGTCACAAGCAGACCCACGGAGAGGTCAGGACGAAAGCCCCGGAAGCCAGGGCATAATCGTGCTTCTTGAAGTTGCCGGATCAGTCCCTCAAGGAGCCCAGCTGGCATTCCTTCCCGTGGGTTCCGTGAGACACCCCCATTTCCTCCCAACACACCCTTCTTTGGCTGTGACCAAAAGCCAACTATGTTCTCGCCTCACC